AAAAAAAAAAAAAAAAGAAAGAAACTGTCAACCTATTAAACAAAGACTATTTAAATCAACTATTTTATTTATTTATTTTTGAGTAGGAGTCTCACTCTGTCATCCAGACTGAGTGCAGTTGCAAGATCATGGCCACCGCAGCCACAACCTACTGGTCTCTGGCGATCTTTCTGCCTCAGTCTTCCAAGTAGCTGGAACTACAGGCATATGCCACCAAGCCTGGCTAATTTTTTGATTTACTGTAGAGACAATGTCTTGCCAAGTTGCCCAGGCTGATCTCAAACCTCTGGGCTCAGGTAACCTCTAGCTACCCACCACCTCCCAAAGTGCAAGGATTATAGGCATAAGCCACCACACCCGGCTAAATCAACTATTTTAACTATTAAGTAACTTTAGATCTAAAGAACTAAAATACAAGAATGATGTCTTGCCAAATAGAGAATATGAGTAAAGAAATAGAAATTATAAATAAGAATCAAATAGAAATTCTAAAGGTGAATATAAGTATAACTGAAGTGAAAAATGCACTAGAGGGGCTCAACAGAGGATTTGAGCAGGCGAAGAAACAGCAAACTTGAAATAAGTCAATTGAGATTATTCAGATTAAGAAACAGAAAGAAAAATAAAGAAAAAAATCAACGTATGGGAAGCCAAGGAAGGAAGATCACTAGAGCCCAGAAATCTGAGAATAGCCTGGGCAACACAGCAAGATCCTACCTCTTAAAAAAAAAAGTTTAAAAATTAGCTGAGTGTGGTGGTGCATGCCTGTAGTTCCAATTATTTCAGAGGCTAAGGTGAGAGGACTCAGCACAGGTGTTCAAGGTTACAGTGAGCTATGATCAAGCCACCAAACTCCATTCTGGGGTAATAGTACAAGAACTTGCCTCTAAATAAATCAATTAATTTGGCTGAGCATGGTGGCTCATGGCTGTAATTACAACACTTTGGGAGGCCAAGGTGGAAGGATTGCTTGAGCCCAGGAGTTCAAGACCACTGTAGGCCACAAAAGAAGACTCTGTCTCCACAAAAACATAAAAAAGTTAGCCAGGCATGGTGGCATGTCCCAGCTATTTGAAAGGCTGAAGCAGAAGGATCTCCTGAGCCCAGGAGATTGAGGTTGCAGTGAGCCACAATCATGCCACTGCACTCCATCCAGCCTGGGAGACAGAGTAAGACCCTGACTCAGAAAAAATAAAAAATTAACAACTGATTTTTCATGAAAAATTATGGAGGACAGAAAGCAATTAAATTAAACATTCAGAGAGCTAATAGAAAGACTGCCAACCAGGAATCCTATACTCAGCAAAACTATTATTTAAAAATAGATGAAGCCAGACGCCGTGGCTCATGCCTGTAATCCCAGTACTTTGGGAGGCAGAGGTGAGAGGACTGCCTGAGCCCAGGGGTTTGAGACCAGCCTGGGTACAACTTGATGAGGTCTCGTCTCTATAATAAATCAAAAACTTAGGGCTTTGTCCCCCTATCCCACCTTGGGGAGGTGAATCTTCATTCTTCCTTCTCTTTCTCTCTCTAAATTACTTTTTTTTTTTTGAGTTGGAGTCTCACTCTGTCGCCCAGACTGGAGTGCAGTGGCCGCTCCCAGCCACCGCACCCTCGACCTGCTGGGCTCCGGCGATCCTTCCACCTCAGCCTTCTGAGTACGCCGGAATTACAGGCATGCATTAGCATGCCCAGTTGATTTTTTGATTTTATTGTAGAGATGAAGTCTCGCTGCCCAGGCGGGTCTCGAACCCGCGGGCTCAGGCAATCCACTCACCTCAGCCTCCCAAAGGCACGGGATTACAGGCTGAGCCACCGAGCTCGACTTCTAAATTACTTTTAAATAAACTTTTCTTTCTTAAAAAAAAAATAAAAAAAAACAACTTAACTAGGCATGGTGGAACATACTTATAGTTCCAGCTACTTGGAAGGCTAAAGCAGAAGGATCACCTGAGCCCAGCAGGTCAAGGCTGTGGTGGCTATGAGCATGCCATTGCACTACAGCCTGGGCAACAGAGTGAGACTCTGATTCATATTAAATAAACAAACAAACAAAACAAACAAATAAATACATAAATAAAAATGAAGGAGAAATTAAGACATTCCCAGGTAAACAAAAAATGAAAGAATTTGTTAGTACACCTGCCCTACAAAGAATTACTAAAGGAGTACTTCAGGCTGAAATGTAAAAACTCTAGATGTAACTTGAATCCACATAGAGAAATAAAGTACACCTGTAAAGGTAACTACACAGGTAAGTACAAAAGGCAATCATCTGATGTCTGTACCTCTTTTTTTCTTCTTATCTAATTA